GTCGGCTTCCCTGGGGAGAACCGTGCGCTCGGAGAGCACCCTCTGAGCAGCACGCTCGTCTCACTGCTTACCAAAACGCCGAGGTGCCCCCCAGGAGCATCCAGGGAGACTCGGATTTAGGCTCTTCTAGCACAGCTCTGACCCTGCCTGCAGCCAGTGGGTGCTATGCTCGGTACTAATGAAATACCATAAACCAGTACTGGTTTCACCATAAGAATCCCTAATGGGTGGATGGGGAATATTAAGGGCAAAGGAGTTCCATGAGAATTTAGGTTTTCATACCTATACTGCACCCTGATAACAAACTGTGGAGCTGAGGATTGAAGAAAAATAATTAAAAAGGTTTCTTACTAATAACTAGCTGCTGGAGGTCTAGCAAGGGTTAAAACAAAGTTCTCAGGGCGGTTCCTGTCCCAGACAACGAAATGACGCTGTCATTCAGGTTGAAGTTAAGTGTAGCCTGAGCTGTCCTTATTGTGCTTTTTTTTTTGTTTAAAGTGCCCTGCCATGAAATCAAAGTGTGCATTCTTGAAGTGTAGAGAACTAAGGACTTCTGGAAAGGTGATGTAAAGGGTGATTATGGTCAGTTTTTAATGTGTGTTGGTAGGAAATCAGATGTGATTCCATGGATTTTTCTACCATAATTAGAGACAATTGGCTTAAGTGACTGCTGGTTATTTTACAAAATTATAGAAAGCAGCATTTGTACTAAAGTTAAGTAAAAGCAGTAGCAGAGTAGTAATATGTAGTGATTTGTCCACAAACAGTTTGAAAACAACCTACCCATTGCTGGAGTTTGCATACGTAACCATTCTGATGCTTCTGTCGTTGCCGTGAAGAGTGACATCATTTGGGTTTGGCCCTGAGGAGAGCTGGGTGGAAGGAAAGCTTGGTGTGGGTGTGGGTGCATGCTTCTGTCAGTCCTCCTGAACCCTGCACGCTAAGAAATGCACGCTGGAGTTCAGGGAACTCAAAACGTCTGCTTTGTTCCAGGTGGTGGTGTGAAAGATGAGGCTGCATGAGAAGCGGAGCCGGTCCTTCCAGGCTCCCGTGGCCGTGCGCAGCTCCCCGGGCAGGCAGGTGTTCGTCTTCCCCAGCGGCCGCTCCGACTCGGAGGAGTCCTCGGAGGAGGAGCTGAACGCGACTGCGCTGCGGCCCCGGGGCAGGGAGCAGCCGCCCCCCCGCCCCGCCGGCACGGTGCTGCTGGAGAGGGAGCTCACAGAGGGGGACAGCCTGAACAAGCTGGCCCTGCAGTACGGGTGTAAAGTAAGAGCTGTCTCTGTTTGGGTTTGCTTACTGGAGGTGTTTCAGGTGTTGGTTAGGCTCCAGAACTACAGGTAGGTGGGTGGTTGTGCAGTGTCTAATGGCCTTGACACTAAATTATTTGGCCCGTGTATTGGGTGAATGGTCAATATCTGGGTAGAGCTGAGCTGGGGAAAGGCAGAAACAAACCAGAACGAAGAGTTCTCAGCTAACAGCCTAGGAGGACGCTGTCAACCCCACGCCCTGCGTGACCTGCTCTCCTGGTTGACAGGGGGGGCTGAATGCAGCCTGGCAGCCGGCGTTCCTGCCGCGTCGTTCGGGCGAGGGTAAAAGGTGGGAAGGACAGAGATGGGGGTCAGAGCCCTGCTCTGGAGGAGCACGTGGGCTTTGAAGCAAACTAACAGTACAAAGAAGTGCCACTCTGATGGGGCTGGCTTGGGGTTTCTTTTATTTTCTGAAAGGTACACACGGTGGATTCTCTGCAGTTGGAGCATACTGAAAACACGTTCTCTTTGTTCCAAAGCAGAGCGCTTTATAGAAAAACTATTGAAAAGTTTAATTACCTGGTCTGGGCATTAGAAGTACCCTGCTGTTGAGCAGTTAAAGCTGTATTTTTAGAGCCTCCTTTATCTGCAGGCTAGATGGTGATTAAAAAGTTCCATGATGCAAACAATTGGCGGGTGACCTGGATGGGGCTGCTGCTGGGTACAGGCTCAGCTCTGCTCCCTCGCAGCCTGTCTTGCTCAACAACACGGCAGCTGGGCCCTGCAGCTGAGGCAAGAGGGCTCAGAGCAATTGCGACAGCTCCGCCCCTCCCATTCCCTTAGAAACAAAACCAAAACAGAAACCAAACCCTTCTGGGTTCTGCCGGAGCCTGGCACCGGGAAGGTGAGGGTCTGGTGGGAATTGGGTAGGGCTGGTGGGTGCCGGTGGAGCCTGAGCGCTCAGAGCTGCAGCTGTTGGCTTTGCAGTCCTGCAGGTTGGCCCCAGCAGGGACCAGGCAGGCAGTGGTCTCCTCCACAGGAAAAAAACTGTCCCACCACCTCCCTCCCTTCCAGAAAGGGCACTTCTGGCTGGTCCCAGGTAAACTGAGGAGGTACAGAAAGCCTTCTTGTTGGAAATTTGTGTATTTATCTGCCAGTACAGACTGGCGCCGATCAATTTTCACCTAATTTGTTTTACTCGCACAATTAAGCAACTTCTGAAAAGCTACCAGGACATGAGTGAGGAAGGTCTGTGGCCACAAATACATACAGCTGTGTTTAAAAAAATCCAGGATGAGCTTTTTCTTCAAATCAATGAGAACTTCTTGTGGGGTTCAGAATCATCAGTGCCTGCTTGGGGCTGGGGGGTACTAAGAGAGCACACCACGTAACTTCGTGTGTGCTACAGATCACTTGGCAGAGATGCAGAGCACTTCAAAATTCCCATTTTTACTCTTGACCATTTATAGTCCTGGCCTGCCTTTGGCATTGTTCTTAGCTGGGACAAGAGGCGCTCGCTGCAGCCAAAAAAATGAGTACAGCAAATAATCCTAAATGGCTTGTGCAGCCGAGAGCTCTTGCACACTCCCCATCAGCTTTGTTTGTTGTCTCTGCGTAAGCACTGCTCCACTTTCTGTGTCCAGAGCCTCAGCACAGCGCTGCAGGGCCCGAGTGCAGGCACGGCAGGGGACAGTCACTGTCCCAGTAATTTGCTTTCATTGGAACAAGCCCAGAAGTTGAAGCACCACCTCAGTTAGGAGGCTTTGAGGGAGATTGCTGTTTCATAACTAATTTTGCAGGGTTTCAGTCCTGATCTTATGCTGAGGCAAGCTGTGAGGAGTCTGAATCAGCAACTGAGGATTCCTTTTGCCTCAGGGACACCAGATTAGGATCTAGATGAAATGTCCCATTTTCAGATTTCTCAAGCTCTGCAGAGCAGGCGTGCGTTGGGGCGTCGGGCCCATCCCCACCGTGCGGCAGTCCTGCCTGCTGGCTGTGCCGTAGCAGCTCCGCACGGTAGGTGAGCTGGACACCAGGTTCCTGAGCACCTGTCTGGGCCAGAGGGGGCATCCGGGGGCATCACGGGGCAGAGCCGCTGCAGCTCCCCTCTCCTGTGGCCCACTGCAGGGTCCTGCACCCCGGGACCTCCAGCAGGGAGGAGGAGTGGCTGGGGGGCAGCGGCACGGCTTTGAGGGTGCGGCGGGTGCCGCTCGCGGTGCCATTGCCGGGCCGCTGGAGGAA